TAACCAACTTACACTACTAATGTACATCAGAGGCCAAACCAAGGTCTGTTTGCTATTAAGCTAAAACAGTAAAGGATGGCCTTCTATGCTCTTCTTAATCTCACTGTCTGACTCTAATAGTAAAAATGAATAAAACAATGCAAAACAAAATTAAATGTTCATTATTTGTCTTTTTTATAGTCCATCCCTACCCTCCGATTCACAATAGAAAGTGCAATTGGTTGCAGTTCTTTTTGTGAACTATTTTCATTTCCTTATTATTAGCACATTTATTTGGTTCACTTTTCTGACGAAGGAGAATGGTTTTGAATTCTACATCCTAATACTAAATTTCAGCTTTTAAAGGTGAGTGATTGAAGCTTCCATCATCAGTCATTCCTTTTTTCAAATTCACTGATGAATATTTAACCTCGTCCCTTGGAGTTCTGCTAAAGGAAGATGGCATTATGGCCTCAAGCTGTGAGCCGAGGAGGGGTTCATTCAGGCAGGGGTCTCTCTCCCTGAGCGGGGGCTTCACTCTTGCTGTGGACCCTCTGTGCAGTGAGTGCTGAGTTCTGTTCTTGCAGAAAAACACCATGCAGGATCACACCACCCATGACAGCCCTTAATGAAAACGCAGCCCCGAGAATAATGAAGCTTCTTGTTCCTTTTGCTGAATTCACCTCGGGTGCTGTCTCGCAATCCTTTTATTCTCTGCTCAGACCACCACTGGGGGTGAGCAAGAGTCCTATGAATCAAGGCCCTTCTGTTTTCCAGTCGCTGCCGTGAACGTGGCAGTTGTTTGCACAGGGGTTTCCTCTTCCTTCATTCAGCATTTATTAACCACCGCCACGCTCGCCCTGTTCCATGTGCGACCGTTGTTATTATGCCCGAGGCTTCAACTAGCAGGACAGCATGTAACAGTAATTTTTATCGTTAGACTTTAAGTCATAAATTTGATTTAAAGCCTTATTTTACATTTCACAAGGGAAACTCTGTCGTGCATTTAGACAGGGAGGCATCAACGTGTTGGTACTGAACTGATGGTGATGGGACACATGCGCATCCCGAAGCAGCTTCAGGAGTGGACACGGCTGGGCACCGGCAACGCCAGGGGGCGCCATGCACGTAGGCTTCAAGGTGACTGGCACTCCCCTGGAGTTGGCTGCGGGTCATCCTGCAGGAGAGTTTGGATAAACAGGTCATGATAGCTCCTTTAATGAGAAATGAATGACTCCTGGGGACAGTGCCGTAATTACAAACCAGTGAGGCAAAATTGTGCAGGACCAATGAGTATGAAACCTAATGCCAGATTGTCCTGAGTTCAAATTCTGGCTCATCTGTGTGAACTTTCTGGCAAGTGACTTAGCTCCTCCAGGTCCCAGCCTTGTCGTCTGTAAATAAAGTTAACAGAAATACCTAGCATACAGGGTTATTATAAGGATTAAGTAAATTAATATTTGTAAAGCACATAGACACTGCCTGATACATAGTCTCATATAAGTATTTGTTATAAAAATGAAAAAAAAAACACATTGATCATTCTGTTGATGCTTAGTGAAGTAAGGTATGACTCACATGACCAAGACTGTTTAATAATTTCTCTGTCTATTCTCAAGTATTGCCATAATTATTGTTGCCAGAATGCTGCATTAGTTAATTAGGAGGGCACCTTTATGTTTTACACATTTGTGAATACTTGCATACTCCACATTTCTTTAAAAAGAAAATGAAAATTTTTTTCTAAAAAATTGGAAGCAACTTAGGTGTCTTATCAGTAGGAGACTGGATAAATTGTGGCATACTCATAAAATATATCTATTATTATTGCATATGATTTACATACATACATGATCATATATATTACATATGATATTATATATGATTATGTATATATATTTGAAAGATATTACATTTATTCTTTACATAAAAGATAGGGGTACATTTCTAGAAAAATGTTGAGTTTAAAGAACCCTAGAAGGATGACATGTACAGTACATACAGTAAACTTTCACTTAAATACACAAACATATGTAGGGTTTTCCTGACAGCTCAGTGGTAAAGAATCTGCCTGCAAGTGCAGGAGACACAGGCTGGATCCCTGGTCCAGGAAGAGCCCACACGCGGCTGAGCAACTCAGCCTGTGCGCCACAGCTGTTGAACCTGTTCTCTAAAGCCCGGGAGCTGCAACGCGAGAAGCCACCACAATGAGAAGCCTGCGCACCACAAGTGAAGAGAAGCACCTACTCGCTGCAGCGAGGGGAAAGTCCGAGCAGCAACGAAGACCCAGCACAGCCAAAAATAAATACATAAAATTATTTAAGAAATACATGCACGTGTAGAAAATGTATAACAGAAACATGAAGGCTATGCAACAATATCAAGATGGAAATTTAAGAAAGGAGGGAAGGGAAGGGAATCTGGCAGGAGCAGAAAGGGGACTTCAGTTTCACCATTTCAGCATTTCCTTTCTCAAAAAAAAAAAATTCTGAAACAAACATGGCAACATTTAACACGGATTAAATCAGGTTGAAGATTACCTTATCATATTATTCTCTGTGCTTTTTATTTGTATTTGAACATATTGATAATAATGACAGAACCCATTTAAATGCCAAATTATACTTCTAAAGTTCCCACCCATAGATTTTATTACTCCTCCCAGTTAATTTTTTTTTAATTCTTTTTTTCTTCAAAATGTTAACATACTACCAGTTGTGCAAGTGTTTTTATGGATGGCCCCATTTCGTGAGGTTTAGAAAGCACTTTGGCACAAAGGCTCTTAAGAATATATCTTCATTATTCTAGAAAGAATTTTAATGACCTATCGTTCATCAGTGTTAATGACAGTCATGTAGATAAATCCCTAAGCAGTCCTTTTAAGGGTTGCATTTTTTGCTCAGTCAAAAATAAAAAGTGCTTTCTTGACTTCCTGGATAATTTTGCTAAGCAAGCATGTTGTACACTTTCAGGTGCTCAAATGAAACAATTGGGAGCATTTGTTCAGTGTTTTGCTTGCGAAGTTCTTCAACAGAACAGCAAGAAACAAATCATCCCTTTGAATCTTTATCACTTTGAATATGTATTGATTGGTGAAACAAACAGCACCGTGACCTAGATTTTCAATGTCACATATTGAAATGTGTCTGGCGTGCTCTTGAGTTTAGCAATTCTCTATTCATTGTATAAATTAACTGGGACAATGACTTGTGACCTTAGAATTGCAGCTTTGTGGCTCAATATGCCATTGACCTTTTTATGTCCTATCTATGGAGTATTAATGTGTAAAATGGTCATCAAATTAATTTATGTCAGCTGTTGTCTACGTTCTAACTAGAAAACAATTTTCATTGTCTGGAGGATGAAAGTTTATAGAATACATATTTTAAAAATTAAAAATTTCAATTTCAATGTTATTTAACATTGCAGAGATTATGGAACATGAAATGTGTTCATAGATACTGTATTATTTATTGACTACTGACCATGAACGGTTGGGTCTTAGAGTGGTGACCGAGACAGTGTCTTCAAATTATTAATAATCTAATGAGTAACAGAGTCAAGAAAACAGACTACTATAATACAGGAAGATAATACTGTATCTGTGGCATAAGAAAGACTGTTAAAGGAACCCATAGCAAGGAAAACCAACTGAGCCTTGGAAGATCAAAGTGAGAGATCCAGGAAGGCTTCCTGGTGGTAGAGTCTAGGCTGCTTCTTCATTTGAAGGCTGGCATAAGAATAGTCCCTGTAGGGGAGTTCATACTTGGAAAAGCAAGAGAAAGCATGTTGTTGTTGTTGTTGAGTAGCTAAGTCATGTCCAACTCTTTCGCTGCCTCATGGACTGTAGCCCACCAGGCTCCTCTGTTGCAGGCCAGGTAAGAATACAGGAGCAGGTTGCCATTTCCTTCTGCAGGGCATGTTCCCAATCCAGGGATTGAACCTGCGTCTCCTGCATTGCCAGGTGGACTTTTTATCGCTAAGCCACCAAAGAAGTCAAAGAGAAAGTATACTGTGGGCCAGATATTCAGATTGTTTCTTTGGCATCAAGAATCACCATTCACTCAGGGTTTTTGCGTATTCCACAAAACGCAAATATTCTTCTAAGAATACCTCACAAGTTGGCCCCAGAAAGCTACAACTATTAATAACATGTTGCCCTACTTTGAGAAAAGTTATGTTTCAGGCCTGAAACATGTAAGAATAAGGATGATGAACTAAGCAGCTCAGAGACTTGTTTCGATGCCACCAGCTTAAGCAAGATGTGAAGGTTGCAGTTGCCGGCAGCATTGAAGCCAAGGCCCATGGCCCTCTTCTTCATCCATGAGTGACCCCAGCTTCCTCTGTCTTCCCATCACCCACACACCACCTGAGTGTAAGGTTCCGAGCTGAGCAAACCCTCCTTGTCGCATCCTGGAGCCTGACTGTAGGTCTAAAGCAGAGCGCAGGCTTTTCTCCGCTTGACTACCTCTTTCTGTTTTTGTCTAGGTTACCACAATCCAGACATTTCGGATGATTTAGATTCCATGTGTTTATGCAGCCTTTCTGAGTACTTTTCCTTTTCATTTTACTTGACCTAATTTTTTCTCAAATGTTCATGAGAAGTTTTTTTTTTTCAAATGTTCATGAGAAAATTAGTTCACATCATGAACTAAAAACTGTCTTGTTCTGGGATAGGAGCTAATTTGAAGGGCTGAAATTTACCATAAACTCTAGTAAACTAAGTAAAAACGTCATTCTTTGACACGCTCATGTATTTGTTTACTTAAACGTTTGATAAGGTATGGTAAAAAATATATATATAGAATACTATAATGCTTTTCTGTTGCTTAGTTGCTAAGTCATGTCCGACTCTTTGTGACCCCATGGACTGCAGCATGCCAGGCTTCCCTGTCCTTCACCATCTCTCGGAGCGTGCTCAAACTCACGTCCATTGAGTCGGTGATACCATCCAACCATCTAAATAGAGTTTCTTAGTGTGTTCAGAACTTAATCCATTTCTTTTTAACTTTGTAATGCAGGAGAAGAAAACCTCCTGGCAATTTTACGACGAAGATGGTGGAAATACATGATCCTGGGACTGATAGACTTGGAAGCAAACTATCTGGTGGTCAAGGCTTACCAGTACACGACTCTGACCAGGATCCAGGTACCAAGGCTCTTTTTTCTTCTTACCTTCCGTATCATCTTATAGATGTAGTTTGCTTTCAGTTTAGTCACTTGGGAATCTGAATACTAGTCTGTAGATTTTGCAATGAGAGGGAAATCAGATGTATAAAGATTAACTTTAACTTTATTTCTGTGTTCTTTTAATTTTTCTTAATTCACATGTAATTGGACATCTCTTTCTTCTTTGATTTTAGTATACCACAAGAAACCATTGTCACCCATTAAGGGAGAGGTGAGGTAGATGGGTGCTGGGAAAACAGACACAGCGCTCCAAATCCAGCCTAGTTTCCACCCACCATCAGAAGCCCCACGATGACAACACACCCCTCTGTCTCTCTCTTGTATGCTCCCAGCACTTCATTTTAAAGCTCTGTCTTCATAGTCTGTCTTACCTAAGAATGCTGTTTGACTATTTCCACTTATTCCACCTAGCTGTGAGCTCTTTCACAGCAAGAAGGATATCTTCTTCACCTTTGAATCTCTAGTACCTCATAGGAAACCCAGGACATAATAGACACTCAAAAATATTTAAAGAACTTAATTAAATTGCATTGATTTCCAGAAATTCCCAGCCATTCTCTACCCACATGTGGAGGCCCCTGGAATGTCTATACCGATATATATAGTGGGAGAAGAAAGAGGAACACTGGCTTCATGGTGAAACTGGGCCCATTAGTACAGAATCGAAACTTATAAATTGGCTTGGGGAGCATGAAAAGGAAACTTCTCCCTTTGGAAATCCAGTTGACCTTTGTTTTCTTTTGTTAAGCATTGAAAAGTCACAACCAATTACTGGTTGCTTAAGTTCTGTGGGGATTTATACAAATTTTTTTTTCAGCTTCCTTTTGTGAACAGTGACAAGGTTTTTAACAATGTTCCCCTTATCCTCAAGTGTTTTGTTCAACCCATGTTATGCACAACCACTGATCCATCCAACACCTCTCTCAAATTAACTGTTTCACACCCCACTGAATGCTGCAGTCTATAAAAAGTTAATTTTAACTCTGTGGAAAGGCAGAAAAATAATAATGCTACCGATATACATTTTTCTTCATTATAACTTACTGAGCAAGGGATGGGGGAAGTAAAAAAGCAAGTTGAATCTTAACAATTTTAGAACCTTTTTGCTTCCTACAAAAAAAACTATTAAATAATAATAAATGGTCAAAAGAAAAGGCATTTGCTCTTGGAACCATGTTGGTACCGTTGTTTTGTATTTCAAAAGCTTAGGGGCAGGAAACCTGAGGAATATGATTGGAGAATAATTATTCCAGTTTGATTCATTCGGTCACTTCAAAAATAAGTACTGAATACTTCTCTGTTCAAGTCAGTGTATTAGGGAGGGAACACTTGTGAGCAAAAGAACAGAATAGATACTTTCTGTATTCTCATGGAGCTTCCAGGAAATGGGAAAGGCAGCTTTTGGTCAAATAACCAAGTGAATGGATATCTTGTCTCAGCAGTTAAGAATCCACCTGCCAAGCAGGAGACATGGGTTCAATCCCTGGGTTAGGAAGATCCCCTGGAAAAGGAAATGGCAACTCATTCCAGTATTCTTTCCTGGAAAATCCCATGGACAGAGGAGCCTGGTGGGCTACAGTCCATAGGGTCACAAAAGAGTTTGACACGACTTAGCGACTAAACAGCAACAATATCATTATAGTCTGGGATAAAGGTTTTAAAAGAAAGCAACACAGTTCTACAAGGACATTTGTCGGAATGACCTGACCTAAACTGGAAAATTGTGGAGATTTTTTCTAAGGGATTGCTGATGGAGTGAGATTTGTGAGAGAAGTAGAATATTAGTTGGGAAAGAAAGAGATTCAAGCAAAGAAGACAGCATGCCCAAGGCTCTGTGGTGGGAAGCACCATGGTGAGGATGAGGTTGTGAGCACCGGCTTGTGACTGGGCGAGGAAAGTGAAAAAAAGAGTGGTAAACAAAATGGGCTGGGGAGGGAGGCGGGGAGCAGCTTCCACGAGTCTTGACAGCCAGCACAAAGGTTTGAGTCTATAAGCTAAGTGTCGTGGGAAGCCACATTTGAGTTTTAAAAGCAGTCAGGCTGTGGTGCAGAGAACAGATTGAAGCAATGGGTACTCACAAGGGAATAAAGGAAGACAGAGCTAGAAAGTTAAGTTGGGGTCATACAAGAGGAGGTCTTTAATGCCAGGATGAAGAGTCTGGCTTAATTTTGTAAGTAAGAGACCCATGAAGTTTTCTGAAGAAAGAGATGATAGAATGTGACCCCACCACGCTTTTTATAGGCACTTCTGCTTGTACAAGACAGTCCTCATTACTAGCATGCAGAACACCAAATACATTTGTTTTCTGACTCTCTTAGAAACAGCGATGAAGAGCATCTCCATGCTTCATCCTCCTGCCCTTTAAGTTCATCCACCAAACTTAGGATTAAATGTCACAAGCAATTGATACATGAAACATGAGAGGCAAATACATATTTCTGAAATGATTATAAACTCACAGGGAACTGCAAAACTACATAGGATTCTTTGAACTGTTCACACAGCTTTTCCTCAATGGTGACATTTTGTATGACTTTTGTATAATGTCAAAACCAGGATGTTAACGTTGGTACAATATTGTTAACTAGACTACAAACCTGATTCAGCTTTCATCTCTTTTCCTTCACTCGTGTGTGTGTTAGTCACTCAGTCATGTCCAACTCTTTGTGACTCCGTGGACTATAGCTTACCAGGCTCCTCTGTAGCTATGCCCAGTTTGATCCACATGTAGGTTTATGGAACCACTATCACAGCCAGGATGCAGAACTGTTCCATTACCACAAAGGGTCCCTCATGCAACCCCTGTGAAGTGACGCCCATTCCACCAGCCTCATTCCTATCCCTAGTGACCATTACTCTAGTCTCCACCTATATGATTTTGTGAACTGGAGAATATGCATAGAATGGAATTATATGATATTTAACCTTTTTGTTGTTGTTGTTGTTGAATTGCTAAGTCATGCCCAACTCTTTGTGACCCTAATGGACCGCAGCACACCAGGCTCCCCTGTCCTTTACTATCTCTCGGAGTTTGCTCAGATTCATGTCCAATAAGTCAGTTATGCTATCTAACAACTTTATCCTCTGTTGCCCGCTTCTCCTCCTGCCCTCAATTTTTTCCAGCATCAGAGTCTTTTTCAGTGAGTCAGCTCTTTGTATCAGGTGGTCAAAGTATTGGAGCTTCAGCTTCAGCATCAGTCTTTCCTTTCAAATGAATGTTCAGGGTTGATTTCCTTTAAAATTGACTGGTTTGCTCTCCTTGCAGCCTGAGGGACTCTTAAGAGTTTTCTCCAGCACCACAATTAGAAAGCATCAGTTCTTCAGCACTCAGCCTTCTTTATGATCCAACTCTCACATCCCTACACGACTACTGGGAAAAACCATAGTTTTGACTATATAGACCTTTGTCGGCAAAGTGATCTCTTTACTTTTTAGTATACTGTCTAGGTTTGTCATAGCTTTCCTTCAGAGGAGCAAGATCTTTTCATTCATGGCTTCAGTTACCATCTGCAATGATTTTGGAGCCCAAGAAAATAAAATATATCACTGCTTCCACTTTTTCTCCTTTATTTGCCATGAAGTGATGGAACTGTATGCCATGATTCTAGTTTTTGAAACTTTAGAGATTGGCATTTTTCACTAATCTTGATGCCTTGTTGTTGTTCAGTCACCGCATTGTGTCTGACTCTTTGCGACCCCATGGACTGCAGCATGCCAGGCTTTTCTTTCCCTCACCATCTCCCAGAGTTTGCCCAAGTTAGCGTCCATTGAATCAATGATGCCATCCAACCACCTCATCTTCTGTCACACTCTCCTCCTTATGCCTTCAGTCTTTCCCCAGTATCAGGGTTGTTTTTTTTTTCCCCAGTGAGTCAGTTTTTCACATCACGTGGTCAAAGTACAGAAGCTTCAGCTTTAGCATCAGTCCTTCCAATGACTATCAGGATTGGTTTCCTTTAGGATTGACTGGTTTGATCTCCTTGCTGTCCAAGGGACTCTCAAGAGTCTTCTCCAACACTACAGTTTGAAACCATCAATTCTTTGGCACTCTGCCTTCTTTATGGTCCAACAATCTATAATGCCCTTAAGTCCATCAAAATTATTGCATATATCCATAGCTGAGTAGTGTTCCATGGTGTAAATATACCAGAGTTTGTTTAACCATCACCTGTTGAAGAAATTTTAAGTTGTTTCCAACTTTGGGATTTTACATTTAAAGCTAGTAAGACATTCATATGCAGGTTTTATATTAACATAAGATCTCATTTCTCTGGGATAAGTGTTCAAAAGTGCAATTTCTGGATCATGTGGGAAATGACTATTTGGTTTTAGAAACAGTTAGACAACTGTCCAGAGTGGCTGCACGCTTTCACACTCACACCAGCAGTGTATCGGAGGTCCAATTCTCCCTGCCCTCACTAGCATTTAATACTATCATTATTTTTTATTTTAGTCATTCCAAGAGATATGCAGTGATACATCATTGTGCTTTTAATTTTCAGTTCCCTAGTGGCTGTGGTTCATGGGGTCACAAAGAGTTGGACACGACTGAGAGACTGAACTGAACTGAACTGAATGGCTAATAATGTCAAATATTTTGGGGGAAAAAAATTTTAGCTTTGCCTTTATAGTAAGAGGATAAAGAAAGCTAAAAATGGCAAGAGATAGCATTTATTCAGGAAAAAAGGTGATGAAAGATGGACACTGAAGTGAAGAAATCGAGCTGTTTTCTTTATGAGAAAGTCACACGAGAAATGGTAACACCATCACATTGGATTTATAAGGGTTTTAGTCTAAAGACAGCTTTGTGGATTTGTATCTCTTGACTTGTAGAGAATTAATAGATTGTGTCTGTGACTTTGAGACAGATTAGCAATGACATTTGGATAAATTCTAAAAGCTGTGCTATTTTTATAACTGTGCTATATGAACCATTTCAGTAGAAATACCAGCTTTACA